GAAGACAATTTCGGAGACCCTGTTCTAAAGTGAAGGATATTTCTGCAGAGCGTTATGTATCGATTGAAACAAATAGCAGTCGAACGGGGCAAGATCTTCGTAATGCAAAATTTTCCTAAAGACTTCTTACTAAATAATTTGTAACAGATATTGTAATATGATGCCAAACGTTGTTATGATGGTATATCACGTTTTCAATTCTGAGCTCACAATTTCGGTGTTTTTCGATCAATGCTCTTTTCAAATGAACTACTTGTATTCGAAGGTGCTGAAGTTTGGCAGCTCATAATAGAAAGTTCTTTTTTGATCCCATATACAGACCATTACTATAGCGATATGAACTTTTGGCTTTGTTGTCGTTTCGAATGCTTGGCCGTACTTCAGGTACGATCTTCTACGCTTCGGTTTATCGTAATGGATTCATTTTTCATTGTAAGTAATGAATCGGTGCAATAATGCCTTTCTTTTATAGGATGCAAGCATCACTTCGACATGCAAAATCGTTTTTCGAAGGCTCTTGGCTTCAATTCGTACACAGAGGGAAAAAGAAATATGCACGCTTGGTACCAAATTGACACCAAACAGTTTATAATTTTTTAATACCATCCGTTGTCAAAGTATATACATACGTGCGACAACACTATGTAATGCTATGTAAGCTCACTATTGACAGACAAACCGTTGCCAATAGTGAGCTTACCACGTTTGTTAACATTTAGACAACGGATGTGTATAAAATTAAGATTCCGACAACGAATTGTTTTAATGTTGACAACGTTGTTGTAGTACGTATGAATTTAATTTGACAACAGATTTTATTGAACAATTATAAACTCTTTGGTGTCAGTTTGATACCAGGCGTGCATATTTCCTTTTACCTCTTATTTCCCAATTTCCCTGCTTATGAATGAAAGCTCTTTTCGCTAATATTTGGAAATTACTTCTTGAGTAGTTGCCAATGATTATGCAAGCTTTTGTTAAGTTTGACAACTACCTTCATGGAGTAAAGCCGCTAGGTCTTCAAACTTGTATGAACATTGAACCACACAAAACGCATTTCGTACATTGAAACCGATGGAAAATATTCTTCATAAGGTTAGGTTAGGTTTTATAGCCAGTCAGCGATAAGTTTTACTCACTTGAGTCTAGAAACCGATGAAATTGATGGAAAATATTCCTCATAAGGTTAGGTTAGGTTTCATAGGCAGTCAGCCTGAAGCTTGTCTCACTTGGATCCAGAATAGGTCCCGTTGTTATACCAGAACATACCAAAACTTCGACCTACCGAATTGACATCTATGTATGTGTCTATGGAAGGAATCTATCTTTCGGACATCAATGTCAGAGAGATCCGCCATTTAATGCAACTAAGGGAGGTCTATAGTGGCCATTCTAAAGATTTCGACCGTCTCCTCCTCATTATTAGAACGTCCATAGAAGTCATTATACGGAAGAATCAATCTCTTAGCATTTGATCCTACAAAACAATGACCAGTCATAAAGCTTTCAGTAGCCTTAATCGCACACATGGAAGACCAATTACTCACAATGACCTAAGGCTATTATAAAGTAACCAAGGAAGCCTGGTTGTCGAACGTTGTTGACCATCTGATCTGTGCAGACTTGTATAGTACCTGCTGACTAAGAGTTTCACAGCATCTAGAGTATCAATGTCCTCACATTCCCCATATGCTACGATAAGCAATTGGAGTGCATAAAGAAGTTAAGTAAAACTTCCTGCAATGACGCTTTGTTGGTACAAAATTCGACGTTTTCGAGGCAAAACAAAACTTTGTCGTTTACATTATAATGTTTAATAATTAAGTGAGAATAAGTGCCAAGTCCAATCTTAACAATTTCAAACAAAAATCGCTTGAGAAACAACTAGTTCCTGAACAGTCCTAAAAGAAGGTGTATATGTTCTAAAAAGCTTTTCTAGAACTAGTTCCGTAAGTGACAGTAAGTGACAAATGGCGACTTAAACAAGTTGCTAGTGAACCAGTTCCGAAGGTGACAATTTCGAACGTAGAATGAGGCTTTCAGGCCTATTCTGAATAATAAACTCCCTGGGCGTTTGTTCACTCTCCTATAGCTAATGCATGTAAAAGGGAACAAACTCTCGGGGAAATATAGTTCATAATAGGCCTGTATAACTAGTTGTGGTACTAATACAAATGTTCCTAGGATTACATACATATCGTTTGCTAAATTCTATTAAAAACTATATCATTAATGAAATGAGTTTAAAAGCTCATATAAAAGAAAAGTGCCTTTAGGAAATTTTAAACAATTCAAAAAGACCCCCCTTAAACAGCAAAAACAAATAATGAAATAACACATGTATTATATAAATAAAATAAATAAAAACTTAAAAAAAAACTCTTTCACTCTTTTGTATGTCAACAAAATAAAAACAAAATGATTTGAAAAAAAAAATATATACAGTGTCTCTCATAATTATTCGAATTTGGGTAAACTATAAAAAGAAACCAAGTTTAATAATATATTTTGTGTGCAAAATAAATAAATTAATTTGTTATATTGTCTAGATAGTCGTTATGTTAGATATCACGCTTTTTTAAACTTGAAAAATTTGCATTGACTTAAATTAATTATGGATTTTTAAAAAAAGTCCATGAAATTGCCTCTCAAAAGTATACGAATTTTTCCTGTATTTCATATTTGATCATATTATACGCAACACAAATTTTAGAATCAAATGGTTTTTATGCGTAATATTGTTTTAAGGGGTTACTATCCACGGAAAGGATATATTTTTGGACCATTTGGTCCACAATTTTGGGGAATTTGTACCTTTTTTCAAGTAATATCATTAAAATGGCGATTTTTGGCCATAATTGTAAATTTTTCTCCTTATTTCCAGAGATAAAACAAAAATTTGATATTGGGACTTATAAGACCCCTTGGGGTATATAAAAATAATATTTTTTGTTACAAGAATCTGTATTAAAACGTTCCACGATAAATTATTCGGATCATTCTTCTGTCGCTAATTCAATATATTGGAACTTAAGTCCATTTTTATAATACTAGGATCAACTATTTTCGGGGAAGTTTTCTGGTATATATTCTTTTAGATATCAGCTTTTATACATTTTAAGTTTTCAATGTGTTGTGGAAGTGTACAACTCCAAAACATGCCTCGAAGAAACACCATTCAAAATAGTAAAATCATTATTTTTAGATACCAATGGCCTCCATGCTGCATGGCACGATATCATTATGATCTAACTCAAAAATATTGATATATGTTTAAATATTATTTACTATGATCAAATTAAAACCAAAATTTTGGACTTACAGTGTTATTGTAACGGGCAACATAAGCGTGAAAGTTACGAGTAGTAAAAACTGAAATCTACTATATAGGATGACGTTTTATTAAGGCATGTTTTGGGGTTGTATACCGCTATAATATATTGAAAATTTAAAATATATTAGTGCCAATATGTACATGAATATACACTAGACAACTTTGTCGGAAAATATCGTCCCTAGAGGTACGAAAAGGGACTTATGATCCAGATAATTCAATTAGAAACTGAAAAACGATACCAAAAATACATCTTGGAACGTTTAAGTACAGATCCTTATAACAAAAAATATTATTTTTAGATACCCTATGGGTTCTATTAAATTCCAATATTAAATTTTAGTTTTATCTCTGGAAAAAGGGTGAAAACATTACAAATATAGCCAAAAATCGCCATTTTAATGATATTACATGAAAAGAGGGTACAAATCCCCCAAAATTGTGGACCAAATGGGTCAAAAATATATCCATGCGGTTGATAGTTACCCCTTAAAACAATATTAAGCATAAAACCATGCGATTCTAGAATTTGTGTATCGTATAATATGATCAAATATGAAATACAGGAAAAATTCGTATACTTTTGTGAAGTAGTTTCATGGACTTTTTTTTAAAAAAGCACAACTAATTTAAGTAAATGTAAAGTTTTCAAGTTTTAAGGGGCGTGATATCAAATCTAAGGACTATCTAGACAATATAACAAATTAATTTATTTATTTTAAACACAAAATATATTATTAAATTTGGTTTTTTTCATAGTTTACCTAAATTCGAATACTTATGAGAGACACTGTATATATAAAACAAGACACCAAAAAAAAAAAAAGAAGTGTGTAAATAAAAAAAAGTAAAAAATAAACATTTACAAACCAAAAAAAATGCAAAACAACTGAATGAATACACAGAAAGAAAAATTGCTTGACAATAATTAAGTTAATTTTAAATAACTTTAGCCTAAAAGAAATTAATTCATTTAAGCCAACTTCTTACTTAATTCAAAACCATTTCTTACTTAAATCAAGCCCATTTTTTACTTAAATCAACTTATTTCCTATTTTATTAAAAGAAAAACATAAAATTAAGAACGAATCGAACTCAAATCAAGCCCATTTTTTGATTAATTCAATCTTTAGCATTCTTAAATCAATCTTATTTTCATCTCAAATCAAGTATTGCATACTTGAGATTAAATCAAACAAAAATTTACTCAAAAAGCCTTAAATCAGGTTTTTCATACTTAACCGATCCGTAGTTGAATCAAGTATTTTGTACTTAGTTTAAGCAAAAACCTACTTATAGTACTTCTGAAACCGCTACGTATTGACTGATGTGCGAATTATACAATTCTTTTTTTAAGTGTATGCATAAAAAAGTGTAAACTCTGTGAAAAAGTACTCGTTTATGAGTTTTTATATGTGTGTAATATTCACACATATAGTGGAAAGCAAAGGTCGGCAATTAAAGTCAACAGAGGCCGTAAAGGTTTACAACTATACAATAAGAATAAATGTTTTAGCATTAATCATAAAAAGAAGAAATAACAATCAGTTTATATACACAACCGATTTTTTTAAAAACTAGTCTCCTTCAGTCGATCACTGCTTTTTATAGCCATATTTAAATGTACATATAAAAAAGTATGTATATAAGTATTTATATGACTTACCCAAATCAGCAACTCGTATACCAAAACAATTCATATCCTTATTAAGTGGTTGTGACAAAGGCAATGTTGAGGAACTTGTTAAAGAAGGAGGAGCAGGTGGTGGTGGTGCTGTTGTTTCCTGTGGTCTTTTACGTGCCACTGCAATACCAATTGGTACAGTATTATCTGGAAGTAATAACAATAACAACAACAATAACATTCAATCTAAAATGTATAATCATAATGGCAAAACAAAAACACAACAAGAAAAATTATATATAAAAAATACAGATAAAAACAACAAACGAGAGAACCTTTGTAGAAAAAACAAAAACGTCGAAAAAAAATAAATAACAAATTAGCAGAACAGTTCTCATTCATAATGAGAAAAATAAAAAGAGTACAAGGCAAAAGCAAAACCCAAACAAGACAACAAATCAAATCAAAATACCGACGGCGACGGATATTGTAACATACAAATTTGTTTATTATTTTCTTGTTTCTTTTTTCCTATTTTTAGTTCATTTTTTTCATCTTTCATTTAAAGTTTCTAACAATAATCAAAAGTACTTCTATAAATTTTTAAATTTTTGCATGTTTTCAAAAGGAAGACAGGACAGACATAAGATACGTGGGCAGGATTTAAAATACCTTTTTTTCTAATTTTTACTATAAAATTATTTAATAGAATAGTTAATAAAAATCCACAGATTAGTTTCAGTTGATAATTGCAAACGGTTGTTATTGAAATTATCTAGACACTTCAGCAATCTTTAAAACGTCTATTAGACAATCAAGAGCTGCTTGACAAACTCGTGCGAATTGCCAAGTATTCAAAAACTTTTGATATTCTCATCCAATGGTAATAAAAAGTTGCATTAAACCTTAATAGAACGGTCTAGTAGGCCCTTTGGCGTAGAATTTTATAAATTGACTTTCGAACAATCGACTTATTGTCGGAAAAAGTCGGTAAATCGACTATGCTATAGGAAAAACGTCGAAAAGTCGACTTTGTAAATAAAAGATGGAAATAGTCGAAAGGTTGATATTAAATAATTCGAAATCTATAAGACAACAATTTCAAAATTTGTAAAAAGTAAAAAAACTACTTTTCGTAAATTGAAGAATGTCGACCTTTTGTTTCAACTTAATCAGATCCGAAGCACGGTTGTGTCGTGCTCTTCTTTAGATGAAAAATGTTAGCGAAAAAAAGTTAATAAATTAACCTATGAATGGAATGTCTGGGCAACATGGTATTTTATGGGGTCTCTATGATAGGCAGGATAGCATCAATTCAGCTGACGACGCATGTCTTTTATCACATCGATTCTGAAGCATACAAAATTCAAACTTTCTCCTCTCGTGAAGCAAAAGCTGGCGTTCAAATTAACATCAAGAAAACCAAGTTTTTAATTCCAATCTAAAGGCCGTGCTTCTATATGGCTGCGAAACTTGAGCAGTTTACAAGCTTTTTTTCAACCGCTGACTGAGGCGTATGCACAGAACTTCCTAACCAGTCACTGTCTTAAATCTAGAACTATAGAAACGTACTGATCAAGCTCAGATTCATATGTGCATACGTTCATGAAAATTTGATTAGCTAGGAGCCAAATACTGATATGTCCCGGCAATGTGTCGAATTCAGCCCCCAAGGCTTTAAAAGATCTGACAGACCTGCAAATACTTCGAGACTTCATATAGAAAAAGATTTGCAGAAGTTGGAAGCAAGATGAAAATGATGTGTTGTAATAAATAGAATTTATTCCACTGCGAATTAAAGGACTAAGTTATCCGTTGTTGTGAAACTCAATACAACCTTGGATTTGCTCATTATGTTGCTTGTTTTTTGAATATACCCAAAGAATTTTTAAGATCTTAACCACCGTTACAATTATTCCAAGTGGCTCTGTGGAATTATCTCGTCCGCTTTCTTTATTTCTTCATTCGGCAGGTTAACTTCCTCAAGTTCCCTTTCCCCGAGTGGCGTAGTACCCTTATGAAGCAGAGAAAATGAAAACTGGAAGAATAATCGTTAATGTCTCTCTTACAGTCCAAAACGTCCTTATCATCTAATATAATCCTAAATGTTGTTTGGCTATCGGCTACAGTTTAACATCTTTTGGTTCCATATTTAATACAAACCATTTTTCACACTCAGTGAGAAAATGTTGGATTTTATGGTAACAAAGCCTCATTTGGGCTTGATTAGTATTCTAGTTATATTCAAGAGAACAGAATCTATCGATATGATAGTTTGATTTGCAGGAAACTTCGAGCATAAAATATGTAGCTATGTACTCAGCATTTGAATTATGTATTTAGATTAACATTTTCCCCTGCAATCACAGATTAGATCTGCCTTGAGAGTTATTGAGGCAATCGACTCTAAAAACGCTAAGACCTCAATAAGAAGAAAGTACTAAATTAATGCTTCCCCCGGGACATGTTAACTTGATAAAAGATACTCATCCCTGTGAAAAGAGGTGCTATAAACTGGTGCTGATCAAATGTATTCTCGGCCTTTCCTTGTAATGATTTGACATGGGGCCAAATTAACCCTTTCAGGGTCAAAAATAATTTATGTCTAGAAAAAAAACTTGAAAACTTATATTTAAGATAATTTGAGTGTGCTGAACCCGGGAAAAATAATATTTTTTGAATTTGAGTTTTCCCTAGTGAGTTATAGAAGGTCAAAGTTAAATGTCGAATATATTCGACATTCGAAAAACAGTCTCCAAAAAGCACCACCAATATTTTGTATGAATTTTTTTTGTAAAATGTCTTCTTAAACTTCTTTCAATACAATACAATTTAAATCTGCATAGTCCGATCTCCATAAATACAATTTTTTTGGCCATTAAATGAAGCTGTTTTTTAAACGTTGTTAAAAAGCACTTTTTAAAAAGTAGTCATAAGTGACAATTTCTTAAAATCTGATTTTTAAATACTTTTAAAATACGAAAGATCTTTCAAAATCTCAATTATAAATATAATAAAGTCTTCCTTTTCATCTAAAAGAAAAAAATTAAAACTAAAGTTAAGTATTATACCCAAAAAATGCTTAAAAACAGAATCTATTGTAATGTCGAGGGTTAAAGAACCACATAATCTGGTACCTCGAGTACCGATAGCCCACAGGGAAGAGTTTCGGACTTTATCTTGTCCCGGTTATTGGAGAGGTCCCTTTGGGGTGCACGTGATGGCTATGGTGTAAACCCAAATTCGTGGAAAGAGAATGTTGATTAAAAGACGTCAATAAGTCGGGATAATTCCGGAGCTGAGGAATGACTGTGGTAATAAGCGTTGTAAATGAGTTCATGTTGTGTTCGGACTTTGTCTTGTCCCGGTTATTGGAGAGGTCCCTTCGGGGAGCACGTGGCAGTTTAAACGCAAATTCGTGGAAAGAAAATGTTAGTTAAAAGACTGATGCACGTCTATACTTCGAGATCATGCCGAAGCTGAGGAGTGACTATGGGACTAAGCGTAGGAATGAGTTAGTGTTAAGTGTATATGATACGGGATAGATGTAAGGTAATGCAGATCATTCACAAACTTATATCTAGAGTGAGTTTGTCGGATGAATGAGTAGTGTGCTGTGTTGAATGGTGATGGATGTAAGGTATCTTTTACAAGTGGGACCATTAAATTTTCTTTCCTTGTTCGGTTATGTTCAGAGTTTACTCCGTTCATACCAGTGTGTTGTCTGTGATGAATTCGTGTTTTGGTCTACCGATTACGTTTCTAAGTACTGTTGCCGACTCATCGTAGGTCATCCCATCTGCGTAGTTGTAAAGGGAATATTTTAACTTTAGGATTCAGACCTGGAGTTTTAGGTGGAGAAGAACAAAGCTTGAAGTTCTATCAAAGAGTTAGATAACACGAACTCCATAGCAAATATAACGGTGGGATTTGTTCTTGATAAATATTGTTTATAAACGTTTAGGAAGACTACTTTATTCGTGTACTTATCTAGTTATGACGCCATAGACCGTGTTATGGTCTCTGAAATCAAATCAATATTTAAAGTTTAACGCTGTTTAATCCAACAGTCGGTTTGATAAGTTACAACTGTTTTAGGTTAGCTTTGATTTGGAAATTAATCACTATTGCAGGGTGTTAAAATTGGTCATGTGGACTTCTTCGTCATCGGCCTAATGCCAATTAGAGATCTAGGATAACAGCTAAAGTTTAACGTAATCAAACTTAGTAGTGCAGAGGGGCCATACCGAAATAGTTATTTAGCCCCCTACTTAGTGTTACGCCCCTAGCCATCCGATCACCCATGTGACTACGTACTTTAACATGTGCTTATTTTATGAGGAAGTCACTCATTCAAACGTCACTCCATAGATTACAAACAGACAGTCAAAAAACTACTCAACACGAGCCAATACATGAACCTTTTCGCTTATGTTTTCTTAAGTGTCTACTCTCCAGATTACTTGGTGACAGTCAAATGGTGATACTAAAGGCACACTAAAATGACAACCGTCTACACTCTGGTTTATAAAGAGTACATTCGGAATGAAAGACGAATCACAGTCAACCAGATGATTAGACTTTAGTAGAAATTTGTGTAATTTTCAAATGCATTGACTGCTGGGAATCACTTGATTGCGTCACCTCTACTAAAGACCGCCGTACCTTTAATTTGTACATGCAAAATTGATGGATGAATTCCCATCCATACCGATCGAAACGATATTTGTTACCATTAATCTATAGCTTTCTAAACTCCTCAACGAACTCTTTAATAACCATTTCAACTCTTATTGTGGATGCTACCACCTGATGAATATAATATGGATTGGCGCCTTCCAACAACAGTTCTCTCCAAAATGCATCTCAATGCTAATGAGCATCAGTGACTGAATTATAATCAACAGATTTCACAGAACACAACAAAAACAACCCGCCTTTTTTAGTAAAACAAAAAACTTCACAAACATTGTTTCTGAGTTCTTATAATAAAATTACTTCTGGGATTGTTCCCGTACTATACATTTCGCAAAAGAACAACATAACAAAATGTAAAAAAAACCTCATTTTGTTTTTCTTTACCTTTTTTTAAAGCTGCCCCTCTATTTTGTGTCCAACACACAAGTGGATATAAGGAAAAGAAAATTTTGCCGACGGCAAATTGCTTTTTGCCTGCACTGACACACTCATACATGCATTTCGTACAT